TGTGGTGATGGTGGTGGGGATGGCTGTGGTGATGGTAGTGGGGGTGGTGTTACTCACCTGATTGAGACGAGGATCATGGCGAAGATGAGGTACTTGCCGAGGAGAGGCACCACCAGGGAGGTGGGTGGGATGATCTCCACCACCAGCAGGAAGAACACGTGGAGGGAGATCAAGATGGAGATGCTCAACGTCACCTGTGGTAAAGAACGGGGCTCAGGTTGAGTCATTGTTGCAGAGAATGGTGCACAGGTTTTAGTCATTGTACATTGCAACACCTGGGTATTTTTCTTAGAAGCTTCACCTGAGCAGCAAGTTTTGTCACTCAAATACAGAAACACAAGAAAGAAGCTTATAGTTAAAGAGTGAAGACCATAGTGGTCACATCAGCTTCGGGTCTTGGTACAGAATGACCTGAAGCTCCTTTGCTAACCTCAGGTCCACTTTATGTTCCTGGGCTGCCTCACTAGTGGACCTCGGCCACATGTAATGATTTCTTCACCTGCAACATTTCTCCTCTGCTCCGCTATGAATCTGTCCTCATGCTTCGTTTACTAAGCTGTGGTGACCAAAGTTGAGGGTCTGAACACTTTAAAACTTACACCTGCATTAAACAAACCCTGACGATGTTGATGTGACCATCACTGCTGCTTCACTGCTCACTACCTTCGCCTCATTGGTTCAAAAGTTTGTGTCGATAGTGAGTGACGAAAATGAGTGAAGAAAGGGATTTAAGGACGAAGACGAATGAAAGTGAATGTGATATGACAGTTGGTGAAATGGAAAGAATGAAGCGAGTGCGTAAATGTATGTGAAAATATACAAATGAAAAAAGCTCGTGAAAGTGAGTGGATATAAGAGAATACATGCAAGAGAACGTACATAAGTGAACGTAAAAAAGTGAACGTGTGTAAGCGAGTGCGTATAGAATATCCATGAAAGTGATCGACTGGAAGCAAGCGCAAGGGGATAAAAATGAGCGCACGGGGAGATGAAACTGAACGCCTCGGGAGAATTAAACTACATGGAAGTGAGAGAGAGAGAGAGAGAGAGAGAGAGAGAGAGAGAGAGAGAGAGAGAGAGAGAGAGAGAGAGAGAGAGAGAGAGAGAGAGAGAGAGAGAGTAGTGTGAAAGTAAGTTTGACTTACCTTCTCGCCTGAGTCTGACGGTAGGTAGAAGGTGAGTACGGTGAGGAAGCTGATGCCCATGCATGGGATGATGAGGTTGACGGTATAGAAAAGTGTCTTCCTCCTCATGGTGATGTTGAACGTGATGTCCAGGTACGGCTCATCACAGCACGTGTAGAACTTCTCGTGCCTGAAGTAGAATAAGAGATAAACCAAGACTTAATCTCCCATCATCATGCTCACCATCCTTATCCTCATCATCAACACGGCATATTTCATCATAGTCGCCATCTTAATAGCAATAATGATAATGATAATCTTCGTCACTATCATGATAACCGTACTCATACGGAGCTGCCCTCCGTATGAGTATCTACTTCCCGAGTAATCACTTTCCGAGCATAAGAAAATTGAAGGAATTATTCTCAAGTAGGTGGACCTAAATGTCGTACCGCTATTCTCAAGGGGACGGACCCAAATGTCGTACCGCTATTCTCAAGGGGACGGACCCAAATGTCGTACCGCTATTCTCAAGTAGGGGGACCCAAATGTTTCGATTCTCAATTAGGAGTACCCAAATGTCATACCGCTATTCTCAGGTTGGGGAACCCAAATGTTGTAACTGAAACAGTACGGACGAGAATATGTAGACTGCAAAGCAAGCTAATACTTCAATAACGTAGAACCGAGATGTTATATTTGGACAACGTTATACTAGGACAATATTTTCTCGGAACAACGTCTCGCTCTGTATATAGTTTAATGAAGTGAATGCTGACAATACGTTATTTGTAACTGTGGTATTCTCTACAATGGTGCAAATCTTCCTGCATCTCATTCTAAAAAGTATAAATATCTAAGAAGTCTACAGTAGTCAGTAAATTATACTGTAACTATAGTAGTGTGTTGCCTTACATGACACACCATGGGAGTGTTCAGTGGCGTCATAAGGGGGGAGAGGCCGCCCTGCGTAACACCATCTGGGGTGATATCATAGAGCCTCTAAAGAAGGGGACATTATTGCCCAAAACAGTGCTGCAGCAACATAAGAGAAAAATCCCTTGTTATGTAGCCTATTATATGATTACAGAGTACAAATACGCCTATATAGGGAAAAATCAATGGCGCTATACGAAAAACTACGATAAATCAAAAATTTTATTTACAATATTTTGAAAAAAAAAACCTTAATCCACCTGGCATCACTATGATCAGTCATCAGTGACGTAACATCCTGTGTCTGCTGCACCACCCACGAGTGAGTTTGGTCCAGGTGGTGGTGTATATGTGGCTGCTGCACCACCCACGAGTGAGTTTGGTCCAGGTGATGGTGTATATGTGTCTGCTGCACCACCCACGAGTGAGTTTGGTCCAGG